GAAAGATGTTTCTCCCAAGTGCTGACTAGCTTGCAGTTCTATTTTGGGTGTTGCACCTGGTTGTAATAGGACCCTATGGCCTTTCTTTGAAGTCAAAGTCAAGCCAAAATTTATATTTTATATGCCTTGACAATCAGAGCATTGTCAGTGTCAAGTTAAAACTGTGTGTGACATTATCAGTAGTCTTGACCTCCTTTCCAGCTCTGGGTCTACAGTTGTTTAGGGAGCAGGAGTGGTATTTATATGTGCAAATGATTTCTCATTATCTCCATGACCCATACAGAGGCTGATGGCTTCAGCAGAACTGCAGGTAATACCCTGGAGGTATTTTCAAAAATCTGTCATCTTTTAATTGATTTTAATCAAATGAGAAAAGCACGTAGTAGATATGGAGGTGAGACATTACATTTGCATTTTGTTTCCATTATTGTCCATCCCTGGTGTTTGAGGTATTTTACCATTTTGAATTTTATTTTTCTTTCGTAACCGCCCCAGTTACGAATTTCTGATCCAGGTTTTTTTGCAGGTTTAAGACCTCGTTGGCACAGGGACGGTGTAAAGACTGTGTTTTAATCTGTTAGCACAGTGTGACAGTCAGCAGTGGTGCTAGCGAGTATGTGAGCAGTGCAGCAGCTTTGGCCGCGGGGCCAGACTGCGGCTGTAGGGTGGGGAAGGCAGGAGTGGCTGGACAAGGGTCCCTGTATCGCCCGGCAGTGTGAGGGATGTCGGTGGGTGGCCATCTGCTCCTGTCCACTGGTACAAAACCGCTCAGGCAGGGTGGTGAGTAATTTCACCCGCTTCGTGCTGGTGGAGAGCAGAGTGTATGAGGAGGGTTCTGAGACCCCATGTTCCCCAGCACAGACCAGCTACGCTTACTTAGCACATTCATTACTTAGCACCATCTCCAAGGTAAGCTTTTATTTCCCCCCTCCCCCAGTGGTTTTCTGCTGCTGCACAGCACGGCAGCGTTTCTGCACAGCACATTTATTGTCCAGTCCAGAGCTGCACAGCCTGCAGCAGGCGTTGGTACCTGCTCCCCGTGGGACATGCATTTTTCTGCTGTAGACACAGCCTTCAGCTTCTGATCCATGGGCCAGGGAGCCTTTCCGTTCACTTTGACAGCCTTTAGGTCAGGCTGCTCCACACTGCAGCATTTTCAGTGTCCTTTGTGAGAGCTCTTGGCCAGCTTTCCTCTCGCTTTCACCAGAGCTGGGCCTTGGTGTGTGAGGAGGTTTTCCCGTTTTTCTTTCGGCTGGGCTGGGGAATCCTCCCTGCTCCTGGTTCTCCATTCATGTGTGGGAGCATCACTGCTGATGTGTGTCCTTCTCTGAGGGTATACCAATTTGTCTGTCTGTCTTGTCTGTCTGTTAGTCTGTCCTGCTTAGCTTTGTCTTTGCTTATGTAGTCCTTTAACTTCCACCAGAAGGGGATGGAAGAAGACAGGTAAATAAGATCTGCAAAGGATAGACACACTGATGACACTTGACTTCACTACCAGCAGGGAGAGCACTACTGAGTAGCCCCAGCATCTTTCTTCCTAACAGTTAAAACCTGCCTCAAGGCTTTTCTAGGGTCTTAACATAGAACCTTTTTCTGGTATTCTTACAAAACCTGTGGTACTCTTAGATCCATCCTGAAACTCCATATGAGGTGGAAACAGTGGCCAGCTGTGCTTCAGGACTTTAGGTACTGCATATTTGGATAGTCTGTAGACATGGAGACATGGACACTTAAGCACCTGCTTAAGTTTATTCACTTAGTCTTAACAAAGCATGTAGTGTGACTGAGGGGGTAGGAAGTGAGTTGTCCTCACAGGTTGTGAATACTTGGTCACTTTTAGGGCCCTCAGTTTACCTCCAGCAGCAGCAGGGCTGGCTATAAAACCTGTGTGTTTTATACTTCGGATCTGTGCCCCACACTCGCTGATTACTTGGCTGCCTCTGGCACATGGAGTACCAGTGTAGGTAGGTAGTACATGGGCTTTCTGAACCCATGTTTGTAGAGCATTTGGACCTATAATACCTTTTTTTTTTCCTTTATTTTCTTCTCTCCCTGAAAGAACAATGTAGTAGTTTGTTTTTTTTTTTAAAAAAAAAGCCATCTAGGCTATGCTGTCAAGGTCACTTGTTTGAAGCAGTGGAGGCATTTACAGCCTGAAATTACAGGATCTGATCCTGTCAGTTTTTCATCCTGTTTGGCTAATGCTGCATAGTTGCTGATTTCGGAGTGTTTCATCATGTCATGTAGGGCTCTGCTGTAGCCCTGGGAGTTAGTGCAGAAACACCCACTGCTTTGGTAGGAGTTGCCTGGAACTCTGGAGCAGAGGCCAGAGGGGATCCACTTCGTCGTGTACCTTGTTGGGAGCTGGGGCCTGCGAGGAGGGCAGGGGACTGCTTGGCCTCTGCCCCTGCCCAGCTGCCTCATGGAAGTCCCTGTGCGGATCCTGCCAGGAAAGGGAACGTGGCCAAGTTTCTGATGCTGGCAGGCTGCACCTCCTGGTATTACACCTACAAGCCTGCACTGTGGAGCATTCAGAGGTAGTGTCAATTTTTTAGCTGTCAAATAATTAATTTGTAGTTATTAATGCTTTTTGGAGGAAAAGTTCGTGAGGGGAGGTCACAAGTAATCAATGAGAAATGGACCATGCTGTCTTGGGAGCTCATGGAGCAATTCCAGCAGTCAATTTATTAGTATACAGCAGAGAAGCACTTTCCTGAATTAAAAAAAAACATTCGTACAGCTGCCTCTTACCTCAGCCTGGAAATTGGTTTTCCCAGCTACTTGGCCACCTGAATTAGCACTGATCTCATCAGATTTGATGCACTGTACCCAGTGGGTTGCACAATATTAATTTTAAATTTATATTTATTCCATTTGCCTTTCAGGACTGATGATAGACAGGCGAGAATGACTTCCAGAGATCCTGTGATGATTTCAGTAAATGCTTTGGATGCCAATTCCACTGCAACTAGCACATCCAACTTACATTTAATTTTCTCTCTGTAGAAATATACATGGTAACAGAACATTGTTTCTTAGGGCAGTGATACCAGATTCCAGCCTCAGACAATACAGCTGACTACAAAGGAGTTGCTGTGGGGTTGGGTTGACCTGGAATGGGTCACAGTCCTCAAGAAAAGAGACAGTTTGCTTTAATACAATGATGGGCACAGCTCCAGAAGTCCCAAGATGTGGTTCAGAGAAGCTTTGAGAATGGGAATTAGACAGGGATGACCTCATCACCCTGTACTTCTCCAAACTCTTTGAGCATACTTGAGCTGAAGGTGTCACAAACTTCTTTATCCTCTGCTTCTGCTCTGTCTCGGGATGCTGAGAAAGTAAGCCTTTTAGCGAAGGGCATGGTTGAAGGGAATAAAAAGGAGGGAAAGCATAAAAATTGAGGCCTTTGTAATTTGGGTTGAAAATTGTGTTGAATGATCACAGAGGATGGCAATGCTCTGTATCTTATCCAATCCATTTTGCCAAGGAGTCCTGCAGGTAGTACAAATAACCCTACACTAGTTCAGACATCCCATTTGCTCACAACATGCCACTTGCTTTCAGTAGGTGTTTGAATGTGCAAAAATCATGTAAAACCAGGCTCTGGATAACCTGTGTGACTTTCTCAGTGACCTTCCCCATAAAACCTCTAACGCTAAACACCCTGATTTTCCTTGCTGTGTCCTGGGACACCTTAGTCCCTGTGAATAGTTGTGACAGGGGAGAGAGGCGGGGCAGAGTCCAGAAGCTTCACAGGTGGTGGTGTTGGGAGCTGGGTTTTCCAGTCAGGGCCTCCGCTGACCTGAAGCTCTGCGTCATTGTGGGAATTCACAGAGCAGCTCAGATCCTCGCGTGGTACAAGCTAGAGTGATTTTGATGGGGCTGTACAGCATTGTGCCTTCTGAGGTCCTGAGCTGATCTTTTTTTAAGAAGCAAGCGAGTTAGCATTCTCTCCTGTGTCAAAGACATTGAGGGCTTTTCTAAAAACAGCAGCATATTCCTCTCAGCACGCTTTTAGCCTTTCAAGTTTGATGCTCTCGTGTATGTGCTTCTGTCCCTTGGGTTTTTTCCCCCTACAGGAATGCAGTATGACACTATGTACCATTTCTGGTTGTAGCAATGTCCATAACCTTCCACTCTCGTTCCCTGCTCTGAGCTGCTGTTTCACTATCACCTTTCTCTTCGCAGCATTCTGTGTGCTGCAGTGCAGTTGCATTACTGTAGCCTTAATGTCTCTTGTGTAAATGAAAGACCTTGTCCAAGAAGCGTGGTGTTGGGGTGGGGAGGGGAAGAGTTGTTAATTTTCTTTTGTTGTCTGCACTCCATTTAAATTTTTTTAATTCTGACCAATATAACATCTGCTAAAATGTCTTCCTTATCATTTGCTTGGTGATCACGCAGCCTTCCCACCATTCATTGAGAGCTGGACCAGATCTCACAGAGTCTGAAAAGAGCTATGTGGTAAGGCCACTGTTTAAACCAGATGTGTAGTCCTAGACTCTCTTCACCCAGGCAGTAACACCTCAGTAGAGATAAGATGCCAGCACTGTTTTTAGCTGCAAAGTAGGTACATATTTATCTATTTGCATATATTGTTTTGTCTGGAACAGAAAAAGGGAATTTAGCAATTAGAAAAACTGTCATAGCCAACAAGAAGTTGGGTTAATTGTGCTGCCAATCCCTGGGTATAGTTAAGTAAAATGCATGAATGGAGCAGCCTGCCTTGCATTCTTGAACTGACTTCGTAGCATTTGTAATGGTGCCACTGCATAACTAATTGCAACCTCTTATGCTGCTGCTTTTAAAAATATATGTATATGTATTTGTTACAAATCTTCAAACTAAATGCCAAATTCTTCTGTATCTTGCCTGTTTTTCCATGCTTACACCTGGATCCCTTCTGCACTCCACTACCTGGATATTTACCTGGATCTACAATTCTTTTTTTTTTTTTTTTTTTTTTTTTAACTGGACTTATGTGCTGCATCTGGAATGTCCCATCTCTTCTTGTCTATATTTTCCCCTCCCTCTCCCCTGTTGACTGTCCTTTGGGTGTTCTTGGATGTCAATGCTGCCTACCACACAGGAAGCTGTTTGCAATGAGATCATAAACATTGCAGAAAAGTCTGTTCATTACTGCAGTACTATTTCTCAGCCTCTTGACTCTCGCCACAAGGTGACCTCTAATGACCATAAACCATCTCTCATCATTTCTCAGCAACCTCAAGCACAGCAGCAAGGAGCCAGCCCTGACAGAAGTCAAACACCACGAGACATGTAAGTCCTTTTGGCTCCCATCTCTTCCAGAGGCCTTGTCTCTAACTGGTGGTGAAGATGGGGAGGTGTGAAAGCTTCAGCATTTCAGGAGTTAAATTAGAATTATGGGAAAGTGTCAGCTTTTTCTTTAAAGAACAAAAATAACCACATATCATCATAATGAGTAGTTTAAAACTGGGACCTTTGTGTCTGTATAGCACCTGAAACAATGACGTCATGATCCAGGACTGGGTCTCCTTTGGGCACTTGATTCATGCTGGTTATGGAGACTATCTCGATGTCTTTATATCTTGAGGATGGAGAAAAATTAATATCCACTGGCTACACCTGGCTCATATGGTGTCGGTCAATGCGTTCACCCCTGTTCTTAGCTTCTCACAGTATAGTGAGCAGTCCCAACACTGACACCACTTGGTGTGTCATTGGCCAGTTCTGATGAATTGGTGGCAGATGAATTGGTGGCTGAATGATCTGAGAGACCAAGGATAAGATTTTCAAAGCTGTCTGATGGGTTTAAACCTGGAGCTGCCATTAAGCTTGGTGGGGCCTTTCACTGCTGGTTTGAGAACAGTAGCCTGCACTGTGTGCTGGGGACTGAAGTTCCTTGGCAGTTGGCTCCTGGAAGGACTCTTTGCTTTCCCCTGCCCCTTCGTGCAGAATGGAACGTCTCACATAAGTTCTGTTTTCACTCCCCACAGGCAGGGTATCCAAGCGTCCCCAAATTTGCACAAAGATTGTTTCCACTCCATAAGGTTCCTTTCTGATAGGTACAGAGTGCCTCTGGTACAAGTGGTATCTCAGGACAGGATTCAACCTTAGATTTTGTTTGCACTGTACCTCCTCAGCCGTGACTTATCCAGCAACCTTAGTGCAGTAGAGCAGGAAGTATTTTTTTCTGAAGTCCTTCAGTCTGCCATTTGGTCATTCATGGCCCTGCCTGTGTGCCTGGGCAAGGGAACAGATGTCTCATTTAGCCCAGGAATGAGTGTATCCAGGTTTTGGCTTGCATTCACTCGTACACTCTCCAGGTGCTACACATTAGGGAGACTCCGGTTGTTACAGTCTATGGAGGCAACTACATGGCAAAAAAGAAACAGAAGTTCTCTGCATATCCCACACAGTGCAGGCATGACACTTTTTACTGTCATGGCCTTGTGACAACAGACAATTTAATATAGTTGGCTTCCACCTCTCAAATGGAAAACGCAGGTCCAGACTGCATTGAACAAAATATAATAAGAATTAGAAAGAGGAAAGGAGTCATCTCCTTGTGAAGGGATGTCAGGGAAATCCGATGGCTAACATGCAGTATCTTTCTGGTTTTAGAGTTAGCTACCAAGCCCTCTACAGCTACACTCCTCAGAACGATGATGAGCTGGAACTGAGGGATGGTGACATTGTCGATGTCATGGAGAAATGTGACGACGGCTGGTTTGTGGGTGAGTGCGACACTTGCCTGTCAGCAGAGCTTTTTGAGATGCAGATGAGCAATTTTGCAGAGTGTCTGGAAGCTGCTTTCATTTGCTGGGTCAAAACAGTGGAAAAAATGAACTTTTTTCACAATTTCTCATCTTTTCCCACCAAGAACATTAAAATTAGAATGCAGGGTGGTGGAGCTTTGTTTTCCTTGCTAGGTCTCTAGTTTTTCCTGTTTTCTCTTCTTAATTTCCCTGTTCCCCTCTTCCTCCTGATCCTTCTTGCTCACACAGATGGCAGAGCAACAGAGGGAACCAAGGAAAACTGGATTTCTGTAGCTTTTCCAAAGCTGAGGGAGCCATGGCAAGTTATAGAAAGTGTCAAGTAGGGGACGAAGGGAACACATGGGAGGGAGCTGCTGTCCCTGAAAATCCCCTCGTCTGTAGCTGTATGTTTAGCAAAATCTAGCCCTTTACCTTCAAAGAATGCAAGTCTGGACAGCGTTCTCCACCTCAGCACTGCAAATCTAGGCTTGTTACCTCTTCTTAAGGGAGATTACCTCATTTACACTGATAGGAGTTTGGCTCCTAGCCTATAGGCCCAGGAGCTTTCACCAGCACCTTATTAATTGTTAAAAGGGAAGACCAAAGATGATTAGTAGCGGGACTAGTTGTGATCTCACCTATACCAAAAGGCTCTTTCACCAGGACTCCTGTTTAGTTTTAGAAGGCAATGCCTGCAGGCAGAAGAGGCTGCCACCTCTACCTTTTCAAACCCCTAGGCATTTCTTGCGTGGCACCACCTTACTCTGGCTTCCTTGTGTTTTATTTTGCGACAGGTACATCCAGGAGAACAAGGCAATTTGGCACCTTCCCAGGCAACTACGTGAAGCTTCTGTACCTGTAAAATAACAGTGATCCCACCATGACAGTGATGGGGTTGTTTTCCAGATGGTGGTTTTAAACAGCGAAGAAACAGACAATTTATGAATGTAATAGACAAGAGACGAGACATGTTAGGAGGATGTGGTTATGTGGTACAGTATTGAGTAGAATGTGTAGCTCTGCTTCTGCGGACTCACGGTGTGATTTGTTTGCCGAAGAAGAGACAGTTTCTAGTTTACAGTGTTGCCTTTATGTATTCCTCTCCCCTCCCCAGCAAGAATTCTGGTGATAATCTTAATTTGTATGGAGTACTTACCTCTGAGAAGGCTTCAGGGAAGCACATGGTATAGGTTTTGTTTGTGTGTTGAGGTATGATAGTGCTTTGGTGCAGTACTCAGCCTTGCAGCTGCTCCCTTTCACTGGCAAGGGTCTGGGAAGCCAGGCTTTCTGCCTGGTTTCTGCCTCGCTGAAGACTCGCTTTGCTCTGCCTTCCACTTGCATAGGAAAGCCTTCCTTCATGTCAGCACCTTCAGACCCAGCAGAGGCAGAGGACAGCTGAGACGGTTAAACTGCAGAGCTCTGTGTGGAAAAGGAGTTTGGGACTGGTGGTTTAATCCAGAGAGGTCAGCCAAAACGTGATGCAAACGCGCAAAAATCCCGAACCCTTTAATAACATATTACCTCTCTCTGCAGGGTTTTTTCTTTTGTGCAGGGGGGTGTGTGTGTGAGTGTATTGTGTGCATCAAAATGAACAGAATCCTGTTTTTTAAAGAGAAATCAGCCTGGCTTTGACATTTATCTGCACAAAGAATAGAACCAATAAACAGAACATCCGTGAGAGCAAATGCTGTTTGTGAGTCGTACGGCCGTTCACTTTCTCTGCTCCTCCTGCCCTGTTGCTGGCCCTAAAGGATCGCACACTTTTTGGAGCATGCTCTTCGGGATGAAGACTTTGCTTCTTTCCCGGCATTAAATCCTGGGGGCTCTGATAAACCTGAGCGACATATCACTGAGGGTGCCTTTTTTTTTCTTTTTGGTTACAGTGTCGATGGTAGGTCTCAAATAAATATATGCATTTTGGCTGCCTCTTAGTCATACAAAAAAGTCTAATCAATTTGGAAAGCTATTCCCAGCAGATACTACCAGTCATACAGATTTGTATTTCCTTGAGGAAAAAAGACATGGCTTGGCTGTATGCTTGCCTGTAAATCCACTATGAACATTCTTTTGATAGACATTTTGTTACTAAGAAAAAGCATAAACAAAACCGGTTCTATCAGACTCTGCTTCCTACAGTTACCATACAAATAGCAAAGGGTTAGATTGCTATTTTGTCTTAAGCCCTATTTAATAATATAAAATGCCTATTTTTATGCTGATGCTTTTATACAGATTTATTAAGAGTAACTACAACTAACTGTTAGCACGACTTGCAATGTTTTGATAAACTAGCCATGTTCCTGGGTTTGAAATAGGCTTGTCTTCCGCCTAGGTCAGCGGAGGAGGAGACTCGGTGTCTCAGAAGTTTGACTGTAAATATGTATATTTAACTTTGTACAGACAATGTACTTACCTTGTATAGAAGAATAATTTAAACACATTGAGTGAAGGGAGGAAGAAAAAAGGCAGTTGTGAAAGGTTGGGATTTTTTTCCACTTTTATTTAAATGATGGAATTTCATGTATGGTCACGTAAAGAGTTTTAGCACAAAATATCCATTATTGAAAGGGTTTCAGATATGACACAGAGCACCACTGTTTCTTTTCTGCAGGAGATACCTTTAATCCTGCATCTTATTTATGGGTTTGTTTTTCTGCTTTGGGTTTGCCCTCCAGTTATTTGCAGCAATATTTAGGCCTGTTGCTAAGATTGGATAACACCAAATTAATCTATCCAGCAAAGTAACGTGATGACACTGACTGTATATAACATACTCATTTAAAGGTTTATTTTTTTGTTCTTGCTCTTGCCATTTTAAGTTACACACACACACGTACACACACACACTGCAACTTATTTTTGTGTTGATTTTTTTCTTTCTTATTGCAGTGGATTACTATTTGACAATTAATAAATGGAATTATTGAATTACTGTTGTGTTCCTTGTACAATTTATTAAATAAAGTCTATTCCCACTGTTGCTGTAGCAATGCACTTTTGTACTAGTGCCCCTCTGTCACTGTCTTTGGCTGTTCCATACTGAGCGGACATGGTGTCTGCCATGGGCTTCCCCAGCACCCTGCACCTGAGGATCCTGCTCCTGACTCGGCCTGAGCTCACCAGTTCTCCCTCCTGAGCCATAGGCAGGCTGTGACTTTTTCTCGAAGAAACCAACGTGTAAAAGCAGAGAAAAAGCTGGTTTACACCCAGATCTCACTGTAACGTGGGGTCAGGGCGCAGCTGCTGTGGCCAGCATGCAGACCTGGGAGCTCAGGAGCACACCCAAGTCCACTGGTTTACAAGGGGTCTTTGTGACTCTCTCTCAGATGAGAAGGCCACACAGGTTCAGTAGGACAAGAAATCCAAAGTGGCAACCCCAGTGGGAAGGGATGTCAGCTGATGTTGGGTTTACACGTGCCTTCTTAACCCTGACTCGGGCCTAAAGCCGTAAGACACACTGACTTCTGCGGTAGCTGCGCTCTGAGCAGGCGGGTATGGCTGCAGCACTGACTGCAGGGGTTTGTGCAAGGTCTGTGACGAACACGTCACGTCTCCCAGCCCTGAGCAGGAGAGCTAGCCGGGGCTTCTCGGGTGTGCCTCCTGCAAAGGAAGCGTCCCCGCAGGAGCAGAGGGAGGGAAGGCCCCACAAAAGTGCTCCCTGCGCCTCCACACGCCTGGCTCCTGCTGTGCCCGCCCCGAAGGCTGGTCTTGCACAGGGAGTTTAACGTCCACTTGGGGCTGAGCCAAAATTGGCCAATAGATCTAAACTCCGCAGTGGTGCGACCAGATGGTCATGCAGACAGATACATGTCGTGGCTCCATTCGCAATGATTTTAGGAAGTCAAACTATAAACAAGCCAATCCTAAACCCAAACTAACAGGACAGCAAAAGCCTCAAGCTATTTTATACATCTTTGGAAAGCACGCAGGCCCATGCCCATCTTTCTGTTTGCAGGTAACCTTATACAAAAAGCAAAAGGGCAGCCTGACCAGTGCTTTGCTGCAGTCACTAGCATCACTAGCCCTTGCTTTATAGTGCCCCAGCCAGGGAGGGGAGAAAGAGAGACTTATCCATAGCTACCGAGCCTCGATATTCACTGATGTCACTCTCTATCCTAACGTACTTGGTAAGGAACAAGCTAGAGATGCTTTTGTGACAGCAGAAGCTGGGCGTGCGGAGAGGGAAGAGGACCCAGCGGTGTGTCGCAGCCCTCTGGAAATCCCCCACACCTGGGGCGGAAGAAGCTCTCGGTATCCATCTCTTCACTGCCAGGAAAAGTGTAACGATGCAGTGAAAGAACTACTGCTCTCTGATAGAGAGGAGATTAATGGTCCCGATGTGTGTTCCTCGGAAGGAAATAACCTGTGAAATGACAAGTTAATGCAGGAAGAGGGAGGAAGCCCAGAAAGGGGACTGCAGAGGCAAGGGTGTGCCTTGCGACGGCATCATTCACAGCTGTGTCTTGTAGGGCCAGCACCTGGGTGACCCTTCTCATCCCCACTTGCTGGCCACTCCACACTCCCCGGCCGTAGCTGAATCCTGGTTTCGGCAGCAGCCTTGTGCTCCGGCTCACTGCTGCTCTGTGCTGCCTGAGCTCTGTATTACTGCAGGAATGTTTTCTGGAAAAGAAAATAACTGAAATTTTGTTAGAGGACTTCACCCCACACAGTTGTGTGTATCCACACGCCCCCCTGCTTGCCCACGCGTGCATGCTGTTGAACAGTTGCTTTATTTACTAAATAAGCACAATACACTTGTGCTCAGTTTGTTGCTGTAACCAACCTCTCCCACCTGTCCACCGCCAGGTTGGAGGGGCTTAACGTGCAACAGGAACAACTATTTTTCCCTGAATCACAGCTGAGGCGGTTGGCTGATAAACCCGTACAGAAGAACTCCTTCTTTTGTCGGTACTACCACCCCTAAGGGGCTAGAGATAAACAAAACTGCCTAAAGCTGTGACAAATCAGAGCTAAATTAGGGGAAAGGTAATACCCATTCCAGGCCCCGCCCTCACCCATCAGCTCCCAGCTGGGAAACGGCACGCAACGCCGCTTATTTCCATTGCCTCCATTAGGTTTCAGAGTTAACATCACACCAGGTTAGAGCAGGATGAGCCACGTTTGCCTGGCAGATGCTGTGCCGGGGCAGTCCTGCGTGCGGTTGCCCACCGGTGGCTTGCTGTCCGGCCCGCTGGAGGCGGCCAGGCCCTGCCGGGAGGGGGTAAGACGGGGCGTGAGGCACTCGGGGTTTCCGAAGACCGAAATTCTCGTCCTCCGGCA